TATAGGTGATTGTGAGTTGCTGGACATAGGTGCTGGGAATTGAACTCAGATCCTCTGCAGTAGTAGTGCTCACTCTTATCTGCTAAGCCATCTCCCAGCCCCCGCCCCTGAACTCTTTGGGAGGATCTTCAACTGTTCCTGTGTGGACAGGTACAAATGCTAAGGTGGTCTTTCTCCTGCTCTGTAGTTTTCCATTTATAGCATGAGTCATTTTTCGGGGAGAGCTGGACATACCTTTAGTGTATGTGGTGATGGTGACTTCATGAGTTGGATCATTGAGTTTTAGATTCTCAGTGTTATTCTGATTGTTTGTGCAAAATCTGCTGGACTTTAGTGATGTTCAGCTAGGCCCCATTCAGAGTCCCAACAAGGAAGGAAAAGTAGACACACTCTGGCTTCTCCAGTCATTGCCCCAAGGATAGGTGTCTATCACAGTCTGATTTCCTTTGCTATAACAAAGTTTCCAAGGTCGAGTACTATAGAAAGAAAAGATGTTTACTTTACTAACAGTTGTGGACATCTAAGAGCACAGGGATGGCTTCTGTTTGGCTCTTGTACAGGCCACTAGCTACATCATGATGGACAGCATCATGGCAGGAGCATATCCATGAAGGAGTAATCGCATGGCAGATGAGAAGAACTCAGACGCAAGGGTCATAACTCACTCTCACAGAAGCTGACCATGATCCCATAATCCCTCCAAAGGAGAGCATCCCCAGTGACCAGGCCACATTCCATACGACTCTGTCTCATGAAGATTGCATCACCTCTCAACATTGCCACACTGGGTACTAGGCTCACAATGTATGAGCCCCTGGGGAACACACACAGATAAAATCCAAACCACAGCAACATCCTGATTTAGCCTTCAGTCTACCAACATTCTACATGATGAAGAACAAGGGCCATTTACATCCCCTGTACCAACAGAAATCTATGGAAGTACTCATCTCACATGAATGTAGAAGGGGTGTATTTGAGGATGGGGAGGGAACAAGAGAGGTTAATAGCGAGTGAATATGATCAAAGTACATGATATGTATATATGAAAATCTCATCCTGAAGCCAATTAGCTTGTGCAATTAATGTATGCTAATAATAAAAAGAAACGCTAGTCTCACATCTCCCACTCAGGGCCTTCTCTGTTTCCATGGGAAGGTGGCCAAGCCCCGAGGGTAGAACTAGACAGCAGAAACGCAGGCAGGAATCATGCTGGTGGTACAGTCCCTGCCGCTGATTCTCTTCATTCTTGCTTTGCAGCATTTTAGGAAGGGCAGGAGGCAAGTACAGTTTTTTTTTTTTTCTGTGTTTCCTCCCCATATCCAAGAGTTTGCATACTGCTTTTGCAGGTGGGAAAATTGACCACACCAAGTCTTGTATTGCTACATCCTTAGAAACAAAAGTAGCAAAAACTCTATCCAAGACTTGTAACAATTCCTTCAAACCCAGCCCAGATAAAACAAAGAGACAATGAGTGCTTTGGGGCAGTGGATGTTGAGAGGCTGTGGCTCTGGTCGTGGAACCTGGAGCCTCTCCCAAGGGATCCATTTCATAGTGAAGTGGATCTTATCTTTGCCGGAGAGGTAGGCTTAGTCAGGGTGTGGAGATGGGAGACTCAAGTGAGCTGTCTTGTGGAGAACTAGCAACAAGATGTTTAGAAAGGGACTGGAAAACCCTTGGGCTGAACCATGAGTGTCCTGACCAGTCCTTTGAAATTGGTAGCCAGCAAGGATGGGGGAAAAGAAATGACATACTGATCTTCGCCAAGTGCTGTTCATTCTGGTGGCACAGGAAAGATGGGCTGGAAGGTCCCCCACTCACAGTCCAGACAAGGGTTATTGCATACCACAACTGGTTCTACATGATAAAGAGAGAGACCCCCCAGGCAGGAGGAGTTAGCCCTGGCTATGAGGGAAGGAGAGAACACACAGCCAAAGCCTCCTTAGAAAGAAACAGAAGAGCCAAGCCAGATGGCGCATGTCTACCACAGGAGGGTGGAACCCTCAGGAAATGGAGGCAGGGAATAGAAAGCCTGAGCTATACAGGGAGAACTGGATTTAAAAAAAACAGTCAAACAAACAGACATGAGAATCAAGATTGGATAATTGGGCAGATGCGCTGGTGCAAGCCTGGAATCCCAGCACTGAGAGTCTGAAGCAGGAGAATAGAGAGTTCAAGGCCAGCTCATGTCACGTAGAGAGTCCTTGTCTGAAAAAGAAAAGGGAAGGAGAGAGAGAGAGAGAGAGAGAGAGAGAGAGAGAGAGAGAGAGAGAGAGAGAGAACGAGAACGAAACATCAAGCAAGTGGGAGAATGCTTGGCTTTGGGGAATAGACTGCTCTGTGAAAATACACACGGGACTCTTTTGTAGCTGGAGTTTTCCTGCCTGGCCCACAGTCAGGACAAATCTCTCTCACCCGCCAGTCCAGCAGTTGCTCAGACCCAACCAAGTAAACACAGAGACTTATATTGCTTACAAACTGTATGGCCGTGGCAGGCTTCTTGCTAACTGTTCTTGTAGCTTAAATTAATCTGTTTCCATAAATCTATACCTTGCCATGTGGCTTGTGGCTTACTGGCATCTTCACATGCTGCTTGTCATGGTGGCGGCTGGCAGGTTCTCCCTCTGCCTTCCTGTTCTCTCCATTCTCCTCTCTGTTAGTCCCGCCTATACTTCCTGCCTGGCCACTAGCCAATCAGTGTTTTATTTATTGACCAATCAGAGCAATTTGACATACAGACCATCCCACAGCACTCTTTCCTGTGATTGAGGTAGGGAAATATCCAAACTCTGCTGTTTGGATATTTGGGGGACTAAATGATCAGTCCTCTTATTTACTAGTTCACTTTTCTAAGCAAACAAGGCTGGGCTTCTCTCTGATGAAGGGTGGGGCAGCTTATGAGCCTTGAGGAGTGGATACACACATGTGGTGATATTTTATTTGTGTTTTAACAAATAAACCTTGCCTAGGGATCAGAGGACAAAGTCAGTCACTATATTAAACATAGAGGTCAGGCAGTGCTAGCACATGCCTTTAACCCTAGCATTTGGAAGGCAGAGATTCATCTGGTTCTCTGTGAGTTCAAGGCCACACTGGGAACAGAGCCAGGCATGGTGGCACACTCCTTTAATTTCAGCACTAGTTAGCCACAGAGGTCTGGAGGTCTGTACAGACAGACAGGAAGTGATAGAGCTGGGCAAAAAGAGGAAAGTAATGTAGCTGGGCTGAGAGAGGAAGTAAGATGCAGGACATAGAAAGGTATATAGGCATGAGTATACCAGAAGTAGCTCTCTTGGGCTGAGGATTTCCTAGTGGTAAGAACTTGTGGCTGGCTTGTTCTGTTCCTCTGATCTTTCAACTTTTACCCCAATATCTGGCTCTGGGTTTTTTTTTTTTATTAATAAGACCATTTAACAGTTTGTGTTACATCTTCCTGGCATCAGAGGGACTGCACTTACTCTACTGTCATTTCCCAAAGCAGACAGTTCACTGATTTTTCAAGATAGCAGATGTTGTTTTAACTGCTCTGCACAGGGCAGAGAGGTCAAACTTTCAGGATCAAAAGGACTTCCTTAAGAATTTGTCAGCTATTCTACACAGGAGCTTTTCTAGAAAACTACCATTTTGGGGGTCACTATTCAAGTCTCCCTCATTATTGTTATTTTTAAAAGATTTTTATTTATTCATTCATTCATTCATTCATCCATTTATTTATTTATTTATTTATTTATTTATTTATTTATTTATGTGTGTGTGTGTGTGTGTGTGTGTGTGTGTGTGTGTGTGTGTGTGTGATGTGAGTATAGTACCCTAGGAGGCCAGAAGAGGGTGCTGAATTTTTAAGATGACTGAGTTTCAGGTAGTTATGAACTGCCCAGCTCAGATACTAGGAACAGAGCTAGGGTCCTCTAAAAGAGCAGCCAGTGCTTTTAACATCTGAGTCATCTCTCCAGCCCCAAATCTCACTGCTTTGATGCTCAGGCTGACCTTTATCTGATGGTATGGTCCTTGCTGTCTGTCCTGACACTTTCAACTTCTAAAGCCATGCCAATCAGTCCTTCTTTACAGCTTTTCTTGGAGCAGGGTGATTTTGTATCCATCTCCTTCACCCCCCAGACAGATTTTACTCCTCATGCTTGGTCTGCCATTAGTAAAGAGTCCATGATTCATAACAATGTGATGTAGCTTTACTCTCAGCCCTGAGTATGGATACCCAGTGCAGAAACTTAATGGATTTGGGTGTGTCTAAAGTCAACAAAGCATAGTTTGCTGATCAAATCTGCTTGTGGTCTCTTTTTTGCACACACTGGTAAGTTAAGAAAGGTTTTACATTTAAAAACAAACAAACAACATGGTTGGCGGGGGAAAGCCATACATGAGATTATTTCATGCCACCTGAAATCAGAATTCAGCATCCATAAGTAAAGTTTTGAATAAAACTGTCAATAAAAAACTGGGATATGAGCTGGTGAGATGGCTCAGCAAGCAATGGTGTTTGCACCAAGTCTGAGTACTCAAGTTCGATCCCCGAAACCTACATGGTGAAAGGAGAGAAGGGACTCTCAAAAGTGGCCTTCTAACATCCACATATGCTCTGTGGGCTCTAAGGGCACACATGTGTGTATGCATATACACACACACAATAAATAAACACAAAACATGGGATAGTTTGCTTCATTTCTTGTTATATAACATCATTGGTTCTAAACTATACACCATTTTATAGAAATGCTTTAGAGAACTGTTTCTAGGTATTGGATGATTTCTCTTCCCTTCTCTAGAAAGTCTAAATTAAAAATTCTGGTCAGAGTGGGAGGGTAGTCTAAATCTCACTTGATGTGCCTAATGGGCTGCATCCTTACCTCTTCTTGTTTGAATTTTGCTAAGTGACTGTGATATCCTTGATACGGGTGATGGTGCTGCTAATCCTGGAGCTCAGGATGGGGTGGTGGTGACAGAGGCGTGATACATAGCTGACTGGACACTTTCTTTCCACACAGGTCACAGGCCTTTCCAGTGTCACTACTGTCCCTACAGTGCCTCACAGAAGGGAAACCTGAAGACCCACGTCCTCTGCGTCCATCGAATGCCTTTTGACAACAGCCAGTATCCCGATCGCAGATTCAAACGTTCCAGGGTCGACTCGGAGGCTTCTGGGAATTTTGAGGAGGCTGCAACTGTCAAGGCGGGGAGCTTTGCCGAGCTAACAGATGAGAGAGGCAAGGGCCAGGAGGAGGGCAACTGAGCAGAGCCCATCCACTGTAATACTCCTCTCTACAGTTTTAAATCATGCATCTGGTTTCACCAGTTTGCTAACTGCATTCCAAGAGGGCGAATCATGTACAACCCCTCACTAGTGTATAGAACATTTAAAAGAATTTTAAAAGATATCTATATATATATATATTAAAACAAAAAGTTCCCCAGCCCTTGAACATGGCTGCTACACTGTTACCCAGTAACAAGAACTTCCAAGCAATGTAGGTGGGAGAAAGTGATTTTAGAAATGTCCCTGTGTCCTTTGAGCTCTGAAAGCTGGAGGCCTTTCCAACCCAAAAGTCATCTTTGTCCAAAAACAGATAAACAAAACAAAAACGAAGAACAAAAACAAAACGCTACCGTCCAAGTGATTTGCGTTGCCTCGAAGGGTCTGTGTTTTCCTTCATGAAAACACCTCTATAATCTAACACCAGCTGCTGTCATTCGCCTAGTGCCCTAATGAGATGAGTTGGGAGGCAGCTGAGGTGCCAGTCAGACTGGGGCGGTCACTGCAGGGAAAATCAATTCATGTGGTGTCACTCTGCACTCTAGGAGAAATCCTAGCTGGCCTGTAAGCAGCCAGTGAGCGCCAGGTCTGACCAGTGCTGCAGAGGATGATAATCTAAAGTGTGCTTTAAAAAAAAAAAATACACAGCCCGATGAATCAGTGGTCAGGAAGTGTCTGCAGACAAATGTCCTTTGCAGGTTTGATGAGTCATTCTTTTTTTTTTTAAAGATCAAATTGCAGTATGGATAGAAATGCCTTTTATTTTATTATTTTCTTTCCTGGGTTATCATTTTGAAAATGTCTGGATGAAGGAAAAGGTTTGATATTAAAAACAAATTGTAGGAAACATTCTAGAAACAGTCATTAGCAAACCAACTCAGTTCTACTCTCCATAGAAAGTCCTGGTAAACAATGGCAGTTTCTTTGCTGATGGGGAAGACTGCTTTCTATTACAGTTTAAGACACTTTATTTGAATGAAGTCTCCCCTGACCCTTGTTACCAGATTCCTTTTTTCATGTGTTACTTTTTAAGTGTTGTGGGCATGAAGCAAGATTTTTCTTCTCCAGTGAGCTCTTCCAAAATAACTTGTATTAAAACATGAATCTAAACCTCCGGCTGTCTGTCACTAATGAAGAAAACAGTTTGACTTAGAATGTTCATTTTTGTGAAACAAATGTGTTCTGTATTTTTGTAGATTATAGAGTGTCTACTGATTGAACACTCGAAATTTATCCAGTTCTGCACCACACTGAGGGAGATTTTGAAGGTTGACAAGGAAACACAACTCTTAAAAGACAAAAACAGAAACCAAAACAATTGTGTAAGGAAACTCATAGGAGTATTCTTGAATCTGGTAGGATGCTGTGAAAGTTCCCACCTTCTAACACACTTCCCTTGAGTGACATGAAATTGGTACTGTTGCTTGTGACGGTGGAGACGTAGTGAAGTATTAACTTCGAGAACGAAATCATTTAGACTTGGAGAGAGAGGGAAAAAAGTCAATATTTCCTTGCAGTCTGGGAGCACACAATAAAACCCCAGGGCCTTAAAAACTTCAACTCTGCCTATAGCAGTTTACAAAAATACTAAACTGCAATCAATGTAAATAAAATTCTTAGCACTATCCTGAGACTGAATTTCAGGCTAATAAGGAATCCGGTTTGCATATGCTGTCAAAAGGGTGTCATCCAACTGGGGTTTCACTGGGAATGAGGCCGCTGTGCAGCGTGGACCCATCTGGCATAAAGCAAGCTGCTTTCTTGCTGCTTTTCTTCTTCTTTTCTTTTCTTCCCTTTCTTCCTTCTTTTCTTTTCTCCTTTACTTTTTTCTCTAGAATAGTCTCATTGCCTTACTTAACTCAGTTGATCGACTGTGGCTGTCTCCGTGGTCCAAGGGAGGCCTGGAGACGTTGGTGGAAAACTTCTGCTGTAGTGAGCATTTAGGGGTTAAGTGCACTGCTGTGTTTGGTGACTGTGCCATTGGCTTGCTTTCTGTGTGTTTGCCCCACCTGTGGTATCTTAGCAAAGAGAAATTTAAAAAAGAAAAAAAGAAAAGAAAAAAATAATAAAAAGGAAAAAAGTGGAAAAAAAGAGAGAGAGAGAGAGATCCACATTCCGTGTCTAGCACTTTGGCGCTGGTACAGTGTCTTTTGTGTCCTCCGAGCATCTGCAGACGCTACAGGCAATAATTCTGTTTGTGACACTGGGAACATACTCCCCTTCTTTGTGGCGTGTGTGTTGATTCCATTTTGTCCAGTCCTACCAGCCGTCCCCTTTTCCCTCTGACACAGGCTTTCTTTCCAGAACATTTGTGACTTGTAATACAAGCCCGTGACAGCTTCTGCGATGCAATGTCAGCATCCAGTGTCACCAGGCTCTCATATCTACACACGTCGGTCCTTCCCCTGTGACTTCTGTAGTCTGTGATGCCGTTCCTAACCCTGTCTACATTCTATCTTGGAGGAACTCTGAGATCATAGAGTAGAGGAGTTTGTCGCTATGCTTGTAACAAGTAGAACACTTTGTATTTAAAGTTTATTCTTGGTCATTATTTATTATTATAATACATCAGTTGACAGAACTTTATTCTGGTATAGAAAGTATTAAAAGTTGTTTTTTTTCAGCAATGACTGTTTTCTTTCTGCTGTTAGGAATAAAATGTCTTTGAAGCAGTCCAGTTTTATCCAGTGTTTTATGCAATAAAACCTCTACCTTTGCAAAACAAAAACCTGAACCAAAAAAGTATGTCTTTTCTGAGTCCCACAAAGAGTAAAACTCTATAAGTTGTTGGCAAAACTTGACCAGACTCCACTCATAAAAAAAGGCCTGTCATATTCTGCATGGCAGATATCCTCATGGCTTTGAGCTTTTGTTGAACTTATTTAAAAAAAAAAGATTTATTTCTTCAAGCCTATGGGTGTTCTGCCTAGATGTATGTCTATGTACCATGTGCATGCAGTGCCCACAGAGGAGGGTACCAGATCCCCAGGAATTGGAGTTACAAGTGGTTGCAAGCTGCCATGTGGGTGCTGGGAATGGAACCCTAGGTCCTTTGCAAGAGCAAGCAACAAGTACTCTTAACCATTGAGCCATCTCTTCAGTACATTGTTTGTTTGTTTGTTGTATTTGTTGAGACAAGGTATCTGGCCTCCAGTTTTTGACTGTGCACATGCAGTGTGTGTGTGTGTGTGTGTGTGTGTGTGTGTGTGTGTGTGTGTGTGTCTGTGTAAGTGCATGTATGATCATTGCTTCTTTAGAGGACTGACACTGTAGATAGGACTCTCAGTAAGGTAAAACTTACAGAAATATCCTGGATCTTTATAAAATAGCAATTATATAAGACACTTAAGCCACCAGCATCTATTATTCCTCTTTACTACTAAAAGAATTTTTTTTTTTTAAATTATGGCCCAGCAATTAAGAACACTTTGCTGTTCTTTCAGAACAGTGTTCAATTCCCAGCACCCACATGGTGGCTTACAACCATCTGTAACTCCAGTTCTAGGGGTATCTGCCCTCTTCTGGCTTCCATAGGAATTGAATGCACATAGTGCACATACATAAATACATGCAGGAAAAAACATATCTATATATAAAATGATAGAATAAAAGCAAACAAATCTTTTGAAAAAATTATTATATGTAAGGAAGTATTTTATCTCTTACTTATCAGAGGAGAATCTGCATGGTTCTCTCAACTGCTATGTTTGGGGCTCCAGAAGAAACAGAACTACCACATGAGTGGTAGAGATTCACTTTGATTTATGTTGTGCTGTTCTATTTTGGTCTCAAATGAATGCTTTGTTCAGTGCATGCTGCAACTCTGTCCACAGGAGGACACTCTGAGCAACTGCCAGCAAACTCATCTGCCCACATTCATTGGAATTCCCTATGGGATGTGAGGCTCTTGGGTGAAACTGTCTGTCCCCAGCCCCAGTGGTGGACCACTGCAGATGTCATGGGTGAATTAGGATATTACAGTGAGGGGATCCCATAGGGTGAACCTGTTAGGTGAACCCATTAGGAAAAAGGATGTGGAAGGTGAGGGTTGTAACTTTTGCTCCATCTGCATGCATGGCAGCCCAGAAAGCTGCAGGCAAGGAACTGCAGTGGAGAGGGGAACACAGCAGGAAGAAGTCTCCATTCTTCTGATGGGGCCACTACCTCAGTCTTTGGCATATTCTCTCCATGAACATCTTAATTGCTTTCCTATTGCTGTGAAGAGAAACCACGACCAACCAAGACAACTTTCAGAAGAAAGATTTTACTGGAGCTTACATTTTCCCAGGGTTAAAGTCCATGGCCATTATGGCAGGGGGGATGGTAGCACACAGTCAGGAATGATGCTACAGCAGTAGCTGAGAGTTCTTATCCTCATCCATAAATACAAGGCAGAGAGAGAGAGAGAGAGAGAGAGAGAGAGAGAGAGAGAGAGAGAGAGAGAGAGAGAGAGAACTAACTTGGAATGGTGTGGGCTTTTGAAACCTCAAAGCTTGCTTCCAGTGACCCACCTCCTCCAATATGACCATCCTTCCTGATCCTTCCCAAACAGTTCCACCCACTGGGGACTACGTTGTAAAATATATGAACCTATGAGGTCCCTTATCATTCAAACCATTACAATGAGTAATAGAGTGCCAGGTCCCCTGGCTTCCCAAAAGCAACCAGACACCAGAATCTTGTATTGTCTTCTGTCTTTTCCATATTGGTTCAAAATTAGTTGGAAAAAAATCTGTGTAATAATGGGGCTGGAGAAATGGCCCAATAGTTGAGATTGTTGGCTGCTCTAGTGGAGGAATCTGGATTCAATTCCTAGCACACACATGCTGGCTCACAACTTTCTGTAACTCCAGTTTTGTGGTATCTGATGTTCTTTTGTGGCCTCTAAAGGCACAGACACACCTCCAACAAAACCTAAATAAAAATCTATGTAATTTGGTGAACAGAAAGTGCACATGCGTGGAAAGGAATATTATCATACCGTAACAATGAACAAGTCCCCAATGACCCACCAGCACAGGTGAACCTGGAAAGCGTGACAGGAGCCAGCTCCATAAGGCTGTGTGTGATGGAGTTTCCTTTATCTAAAGGCGGCAAGTCCAGAGACAGGAGTTAGATCAGTAACTACCAGGGGTTTTGAGAAGGGAAGAGCAGACAATGACCACTAATGAGGTCCAGGTTTCTATTTGAGTTGATAAAAATGTTCTAAAACTGGGTAGCAATGACAATGTCCTGCGTGGTGTCTGTACTAAAACCTACCACCCTATACATTTCCAAAGAGTGAATTAGGCCTCCATAAAGCTGTTATAAAAAATAAAAATAAAACTGGAAGCAGGAAACAATTTTGAGAAGCAGTGACATATTGTTCTGTCCAACTATGCTTAAGCTCTGACATAGTTACAGACCCCTGGCAGAGTTAGTGAAGTGTGAAGAATACACAGCCTGAGGGTAGATGGGTAATGACTTGAAGGTAAACCCAACTGTATTCCACACTTACTACCTGAGTCTGAGTGACTTTAAAAAATATTTTTTATTATTTTTAAAAATATGTATATGTGTGGGTATGTGCATATGTGCATGCAGTACTCTCACAGGCCAGAGGGGGCATCAGATCCCTTTGGAGCTGGAGTTACAGGTGATTGTGAACTTCAGGATGTGGGTGTTGAACATTGGCCCTCTGGAAGCACAGTTTGCTCTCTTAACCGCTGAGCCATCTCCCTAGCCTGATGGTGAGTAATAGAACTGTCTTGTGTTCGTTGGTCACATCTGTGAAGGGGCGAGAAGAAAAACACTGAGATGGGGGAGTTTCATGCACAGTTCACAAAGAAGCTTGAAGTTGGGTGTGAACATTCTACCTGGGCAAAGCTGAGCACTGGCCTCAGCCTCATGCTATAGAAAGGCTTCCTGTGGGTCCTGTGGCTGTGAATCCTCCACATCCATGTCCTTCAGGGAACATGCACATAGTTACTTGCCTGCAGCTCGTCCTTGCTCATCTCTCTGTCCTTGTACAACCTTCTCAAGGGTGGTTGACATGTGGTGGGGGGGGAAGACGATGCAATGGGCGAAACTGGAACTGAAGTCAGGTGGGGCTTACTTAGTTGTTCAACCACCATTTCCCTAGAACTTTCCCTGGACTGGACATTGGCCCATGACTTAGAATTTCAGCTGCAAACTAGACCATGGATCGCTGTCTAAGAAGAAAATAATAACACAATAAATAATAAAATAATAACATAAACAGATACAAACTGCCTGAAAGCGGAGATTGGTGGAAAAGGGGCTGTCCTGGAAGGCTCCTGGGAAGGTGAGAAGATGCAGAGGACAGAGCGTGTATGCTAGGCCCAGGAAGCAGCAGGCACAGAGCCTGGCCAGGCTTTTGAGTTGGGCCTTGACCTCCCTTTCTGGGATCATTGTGTTTTCCCAAATCCACGGTTCCATGTGCAAAGTAGAAAACACCAGTGCAACTACACAAGGCCCTTCCCAGGTGGAAATGAGACACTGTCCGCAAGTTCCCATGTGAAGAACCAGAGAGATGTTGCAAGACCTGCAGGTGGGTCTCTAAAGTGACCATGGCCAGGAATCCCAGGGTCGTACATTCTGCAGAGGCAATGTTTTCAGGCAGCATTCAGCTCAGCTAAGTCAATGTGAGGCAGTCTGCATGACTTCCTCAACAGACTTAGAGAGAGAACGTCAGTTATCATCTATATCATCGGTTCCTTGGCTCCTCTGTCCCCCAAGGAGGAGGGAGAAGTCACTGGTGCCCAATCTAGAGAGTCTTTTTAAAAAACTAAAAATGTTAATTGTATGTGTACTGGTGTTCTGCAGGCGCCACTTGCATGCTTGGTGTCCACAAAGGCCAGAAGAGAGCATCAGACCCCCTGAAATTGGAGTTACAGGCAGCTGTGGACTGCTGTATGGGTACTGGGGATCAAACCCTGCCCCACCCCAGAAGACCAGCCAGTACTTCTAACTGCTGACCCATTTCTCTAGGCCCCTAGACGGAGTCTTTAAATAGCTCCTTCCGGGGAGAGATATGCTGGAGATGACAGTGACATTGTGCTGAGACTACAGAGGTGTGACTCACTGTTTTGAAATGTAGTGCCCCCCACCCCCAATATAAGGCTTTCAATGTGGTAGTCCCGGATAAAACCAAATGGCCAGTCACTCAGAGTGTAAGTCCACTGCCTCTGAAGACATGCCTGGGCTAAGCCAAACACATTGCTATCAGCAACTAAGACTACAATGTGAGTGTATCTCATGTGCCACAGAAGCCAAGGGACTCCAAATACAGGCGTTGACAAAGGGACACTGGCTAGACTCTTCCCTCCAGCAGCACTTCTGCTACAGACTTAAAAGGTGGCAATGGGCATGGCCCCTGGACAAGTGTTTCGGTGTCTCCTTGAGAGGCTGACCCAGTTCTTCTGTTCCATAGTGAGGTGGTCACTGTCCCCAGGGTGAACTCCTCTTCCTTGCACGCAGAAGTGACTGAGCCGCTGACCGACATCATGAGACTGTTGAGCATCAGGAAACTTTTCCAAAGATGATCACCCCCTGTCTCTGGCAGCCTGGGATCTGCACACTTCCTCCTCCATTCAACATCTGCATGGCAACAGTATATTACACAAACCTCACCTGGTGGGTTGTAAGCACAAGCACAAAGACATTACTATTAAATAT